TTTCTTTTTACCATCAAACAACAACTCAAATCCACGAACAACTTCATGAGAACCTCCTTAATTACTTCTCAACACTCCTGATAAAAAGCCATAATAACTATCTGATTCAGGTTCAACTCATGTCAAAAATTGCCTTCTTAATCCCCCCCCTTTTCATAGGAAACGGTAACTTTCATTAGATAAAACCATAAGAAACAACTGTCACCTTCCAAAGTAAAAGGTGACCCCTGAATAACAAAAAAACTTACAGCACTGTACAAAACAAAAACTCCCGATTCACCCCCTGTTTTGCTAGGTAGTCAGCTAAAGCATTTGTTGACCTCCTAGACCAATACACTTTTGCATCCAGCTCCCTTGTGAGGCTCAATAATTCCCTTACCTGTTGTCTAAGGGACAACGTTCCCAAACTGTTTGATTGCAGCCAACCTACTACTAATTTTGAATCCCCCTCCACTTCCAACTGTTGGAAACCCAATTTGTGGCCCATCTGAGCCCTTGGAGGAGCGCCAAAACTTCAGCTCTAAGCAAGTCCCCCACACCTATTGGGCCAGAATACAGAGCTAGGATTTTTCCTTCCACATCTCTAAACACACCCCCTATTCCAGAAGGTCCCGGGTTCCCAATAGAGCTGCCATCAAAGTTCAGTTTGACATGACACTGCAAAGGAGGGGTCCAAACTACTTGTATGGTAGGTGATGAAGTAGAAGATCTTGCTAAAATATTCCAGCTTCTAATCAAATCATCTGTAGACATCCTTGAACAAGTCAAGAGTTTTCAGTCAATGAACTGCCTTGATGGTGATCCCTTCAATAACTTCAAGAGCTGATTTTTCTTTCCCTTGGAAAATCCTATTGTTTCTCTCTTCCCATACTGCCCACAAGATTGCCCTCGTTGTTCTCCACATCACTCTTCCTTTCTTCTTTGGTTGTCAGAAAAGGTTAGGGTCAAATAAATCCGCTACACTTGTGGGAGGATCCCACCTACAACCAAAGAGAGAGGAGAACCAATCCCAAATTAGAGTACTAAAAGGACAAGAAATTAATAGGTGATTCACCGTCTCACCATTCCTCAAACAAAAGCTACAGACATGAGGTGACAAGCACCAATTTGGTCTCTTTCTTTGAAGCACCTCCAAGGTATTATTTTTTGGAGAATCATTTCCGAACAAAAAGCCCTTACTTTTGGGGGGACTGGAGCGCTCCAAACTTCTTTAACAGGAAAAGAGGAACCCGGGTTAGAAGGAAGGACCAAAGCATTGAAAAATGAAGAACAAGAAAAACTACCTATAGAAGTTTCTGCCCAAACTCTACTGTCCAGAGAAAAGTGGTCTAGAAAAACTGAACTTAGAAGAGAAAAAATATCAATTGCTGACTCCACTTCTGAGTCCCTCAAACCTCTCCTTAGTCCCAGATCCCAAGAATCCCCAGAAGTACAAAAAGAAGAGGTAAATTAAGATTTTTTTAAAGAAAGGGAATAAAGGTTCAGGAATCTATCCTTAAGAGGATATTCCCCAATCCACAAGTCCTCCCAAAAAAGAAATTTATGACCCACACGAGCATCATACCTGATGAAAGAATAGAAGAAAGACAAGATACCAACAATATCCTTCCACGGGGAAAAACGTGAAGCCCTTGGGTCGAGTCCAGTGTCCCATCCATTTGCTGCCATTCCATGAATACTTCTTATCACCTTATGCCATAGAATCTCTTGCTCCTTAGGAAACCTCCATAACCATTTGCCTAACAAAGCTGCATTTCTTATTCTAATATTTCCAATCCCTAAACCCCCTTTGTCTTTCTTTCTAGACACCACTTCCCATTTTACCGGTTACCCTACGATCCTTTTTGGTATCTCCAGGCTCCCATAGAAAATCTCTCATTACTTTTTCAATCTGGTTTGCAATCTTAACAGGCAATTTGAAGGTAGACAAAAAGTACACTGGCAAATTTGCTAGAGTTGATTTAATTAGAGTGATTCTACCCCCCAAAGAAATGTAGTTCCTTTTTCCAACCCGCTAGTCTTTTTGAGAATCTTTCCAAGACTAGGTACCAAAAGCTAACAAACCTCAGATTTCCTCCCAAAGGTAAGCCTAAATACTTAAGGGGCCATTCACTTGCCTCACAACCTAGATATCTAGCCAACGATGCCACCTGACCTTCTTGCCTATTAATTACAACTACACAGCTTTTCTTCCAATTTACTCTCAAGTTGGAGACCTTTTCAAAATTCTCTACCAAGACCTTTAGATTTTCCAACTCCTCCGGATCTCCTTCACAAAAGAGAATCAAGTCATCGGCAAATTGAAGGTGGGTTACAACTATTTCCTCCCTCCCTACACTCCACCCTCTAATCAAATTTCTAGCATCGGCTCTAGTAATCTGGACACTCAACACATCAACTATCAGGGTGAAAAGGAAAGGAGAAAGAGGGTCCCCTTGTCTTAATCCTCTCTTTGCGGGGAAGAAATCCTTGGCTACCCCATTTACTAGAATGGAGTAGTGACATGAAGAGATACAGCCCTTAACCCACATGCACCACCTTTCTCCAAATCCTCTAATGCTCAATACCTCCAATAAAAAGTCCCAATCCACCAAATCAAAGACCTTCTCCAAATCCAATTTGCAAATCAAACCCTTTTCTCCTTGCCTTTTTCTGCAATCCACAGATTCATTGGCAAAAGGATCTAACCCCCTTCTGCAAAAGGTCTTTCTAGCCATCACCTAAGCTCTAGTTTAAAAGAATGCTATAAAATGCAAGACTGGAAATGCTTAATCTCCTCTTAAATCTTAATCACCCTTCTATCTTGCATTAGTCCCAAGATAAGATTTTTTCTCTTCCTTCCACTGGGCATATTGTGTAAGAATTTTGTATTCATCACTAGGGATGTACAATCAGTCAGTTCGGTTCAGCTCAGTTCAAACCAAGGGCCTAACCGACTATTAAGTTTTACCATTTCCTCCAACCGAACCGAACCGAATTATATTTTAGAACCAAACTGACCCTAACCGAGTTCGGTTCGGTTGGACCCTGGTTCCACATAAATGACAAGCATTTAATAATTGTTATTAATGAAAAGTTATAATGGCCCCAAAACCCCATGGTTTTAATTAAATAACTATTAACTACTATTAATTAAAAGTTAAAATGACCCCAAAATAGTCTCAAAGCCCTATGCCAATGGGGAATTGGTGAATTCGCCGTTTTCAAAGATAATGAATGATTAATGAACAATTAATGACTAATAAACAATTAATAATGAGTCTAGGTTTTAATTAACTACTATTAATTGCTCATTGGGAAATATATTAATTAATTAGCATAAAGTATTAAATAAAACATTAATGTTAAATATACTTAACTAAATAACAGCATAATTCAGTTTTCAGTTCGGTTCGGTTCGGTTGAAAATTTCAGTCAAACCAAACCGAAACAGAAAACCAATTTTTTAAAAAATAAAAACCAAACCAAACCGATAGCTGAATTAGCTTATTCGGTTTGGTTCGGTTCAATTTTCAGTTTATCAATCGAATTTGAACACCCCCATTCATCACCCTCTCTAAGTCACTAACATGTCAATTACAATTCCTAAATTAGGTCTTCTCCCTCTTCCAACTCCATTTTATCTACTAAACCAATTTGGTTAAATAGTTCCACCTTTTCCCCTGATGACACAGAAGTCTCTTCATTTCAAACTTTCAGATCATTTTTATGTCTCCAATTTTTACATGAATTTGTAACATTCCTATCCCCCAATCACATTATCCTTCAACCAAGCAGCCATCACCTTAAAGGAGGAAGAAGGATGTAAAATCCACATGTTCTCAAATCTAAAAGGTGTGGACCCTAATCCAAATTCTCCAACTGTCAACAAAATTGGAGAATAAAAGCTCTCATTAAGAATGGCATCTCTGTCGCATCTGATCAAAAAATGGTATCACTGTCCTATCTAGTGTCAAAGAAGTATTGTGATTCTTAAATGATATACCAGGTCCTTGGCAATACACATGTCTCATACAAGAAGCAAGGTGGTTAGTTAGACAGATGGATGTAAGGTATGCATGCAAAAATCAGCTAATAATATAGCTGATACCTAGGCCAAACAAGTCAGTCGTACTAGGGGAATGTGTCGTAGTAACACGAATACATAGAAGAAAGCACTGATAGGTTGCAAGGCCATGGCACCATCTTTATTTATTACAATCTGTTATACGTAATTACTAAAATTCTGACTTATCACTAATTAAAAAATAAGTAGAAAGAGGCGATGGCTGAGGACATAGAAGCTCTCATTAAGAATGGTACATGAGATCTGGTTGATCTCTAGATCTCCCTATTGGTAAGAGACCTAATAGGCTGTACATGGGCCTTTCCTATTAAATAGAAGGTTAACAGCTTTGTGGATGGATTTAAAGCTTGTTCAGTGGCTAAAGGATTAATTTGAACAAATGAAATTGTTTATGAGGAGACATTTTCTTTAGTTACAAAAATTAACACTGAGTATGGTCTTCCAATTCAAAAATTTCTTCAAACCCCCACTTGACTAGGCTATCAGCTATGGAGAAAAGAAGGAAAAATGACAAGGATTCAGACCCTAGTCAACCAATAATGACATTCAGCAAGGAACTTAAAATATCAATTTCCTTCACCAATTATCACCTAGCCCAAACAGTTGATAAAATGGAGACTTACCTCAAGGTTCATTTTGTAACCATAATCTATAACCATCACCAATTTTCAGCACAAAACAATGGCAACATGGAACACCTCAATGATATTTAGGATCAGGTTCAGAAACAATGACATGTCATCCCAACATTTTAAATAGGACTAACAAGGATGAAGTTGAGGGAGAAGTAACCTAATATTAGAGGAAGGCCTATCAATTTGAACTCGTCTATTGCCAAATAAAACAGCAATCTAAACAATCTCATGGTAAAAGAATAATAATTTTTTGATAATTATGTTAAAAGAATAATATGAAACATGTCAATGATTTTTACCTGGTATAAAGCATGACTCAACTCTTGCCTTGCCATATGTAGCTGCTGTTCTAAAGCAAAAGTAGACAGCATCAGCCCGTCCCATTCCTGTTAAGCCCAAAAAAATAAATAAATAAACAAATTTAGAATAGAGGAAGAAAAAGAAAAACAAACATGGGGAAATTGACATATACAGAAAATCTGGGTATGTTAAAATAATGAGACTACACAAGAATGTCAACAATCCAGGCACATATTAATGCATATGTATCACTTAGGAAAATAGTGAAAACTAAGGGTGATCATTTCCATCCTCGCCCGGTCCAGCTTAAAAATTTCCAGGCTTGGACCCAAATACTTCAAGCCTGGCCTAACCTGCAGTCCATATTATATATTTTATATAATACATATAAGCATATATATGTTTTATTTTATTTGAAATTGTATTACAAATATTATTATATGACATAAAACATATATTATATATAATATTTTATACTTTATAATCTAAAACAGGATGACTCTTACTTTAGTGTTCAACTACATCATCCATAGCTTATTTTCCTCAGTTATCCATTGTTAAATAGATGAGGCAAAGCTTTAATTTGCATATTTCATCGATGTGGGGCCATCAGGCTATCAGCCTATTATTTGAAATGAACAAGCAAGTTTAAATAATTGGACGTGCAAGTTTGAAATTCAAGGTCCCACAATGATAACCTAATGAAAATAAAAGATCATTCAACCATTTAACAACAGGCAACTGTACAATGTGATTATTAACCTAAAGGGCAAACATAAACAATCAATCCTTTGATTTCATACCCACATTCACTTGGAATGAAATGGGCATCCCATATTATGGTTTAAAAGTAGGCCAAATGTTCTCCATACAATTCATTTCCTTCTTATCATTAGGTTTTCACTATATCTTGTAACTACTGCAACATTCTCAGGGGCCAACGGTAGTTAAAAAATAAATTAGTCCAAAAACAATACACACGTAAGTAGCATCCCACTGTAAACAATAACACTAATTTGAATTACAACATCAAACCCAATTACTTAAAAAATAGCTATTGCAACTACAGAGACAAATTCAGAAGTGTTTTGCAATACATACATTCTGAAACATCCCTAACAAACCAGGGATACTTGCAGCTTGTGAGGACCTTGGCTTTACTATCTGTATTGTAAATCAATGCCAATAAGAGCACCAGTGGTTAATAAAGATAGTAACATAGGCATGAGTCAAAGTGCAACATTTGTTCCAACCCAAGCTCACCCGACTTGTCTTGATTGGCACAATATCATCCATAGTGAGTGGCTCCCCAGTCACTGGGCATTTCCCATAGTCCTAAACAAACGTAAGGGAAAAGATTAAAAATATATATAAAGAATGTTCAATTGAAGCAACCAAAAGCTCCCAAGGACAGAGAATTGCAAAAGAAGCAGAAGAATATGATTTTATCAAAAATAGAATGATGAATGAACACAAACAACCTGAAATAGAGAACTGCCAAGATGATAAACCTACATACCGCTACATGATGCTCGATCAGTCGTTTCTCAAAGAGTAATCCAGATTTCTTTGAAATTGCAGGCTCTTCTGGCACTACGCCAGAGACTGCAAGCAAATTAGAGAAGGTACCCAAGGTCAAACCACATACACACAAAAGAAAGAAAAAAAAATAGTATACAGTATACACACACAAACATGGGGAGAGAGAGAGTTACTTGAACAGAACATTGTAGCCAAAAACTAGGTTTTCTGCAAGCTCCTCTTCCTTGTAGCTCAAGGGAGTAAAAGTTGTGCTAATCCCAAAATCCAAAACCCATCAGGATCCAATTTTCTCCCCAAAATCAATACCACAAAGTCCAAAAACCAAGAGGTGGAATCAGGAAATACTTACGAAGCACTGACAAGTAGAGTCCCTGAACAGAATGCAAGAGGCCTTGGCACTTAGGATACTCTTGATGTTGTTGCAGCTAAGAACCTTCAAGGTAAAGAAGAGCTCAATAAGGTTAATATAAAACCATAAATTATTACCATTATAGGACACAATGTTATGGGCTTAACAACTGGTAGAAAGTATTTGTGCCATTTTTCTGCTAACTTTCATTTGAAATTTTGAAATATTTCTGATGCATCAGTTTGTCTTCTTAAAATAGAAACCTTATCCACAACTATGTCAATGGCACATTTTTTAGTTGAACTTGGATCCCTCCAATAACCACATAAGATCCAAATAAACTCCATTAGTTGCAGTTACAATTCTATAACTCTGACAGAACCAATTAATATGAATTGCAACATATGCACGAATTTCAGTATAACATAGTCTCATAGGGCCTCATACAAAACTGAGATAATAGAGCTAATGCTAATAATGTGATTGATTGAGGATGTCATACACAATAAGTTCATGAAACCTGATAAGCTGGTGCATGTTTATTCCTAAATAATCATATACTATCAACAATTTACTCTACATTATCAGAACACCCATTTTCCTACTCTCTGGTGTGATGATGTAATTCATTAAGCTGATACATTTATAGGTTTTGAAATCCTTTCAACAAAGAACTAAACAAAATCTAATTACACATCATTTTCTTAACTGAAAGGGATCAGTTGGAACTTCAAATCCCCAAACTAGGAATGCATGCATTCCAATTAGTGGTAGAGAAATCTGTGTTTCTATATTTTATTGATGTATTAATTTTATTATATTCGCAATCCAATAGCTCATAGACCATTGTGCGATAATAATCCTGTGTCAAGTGTTTTTTATAGATAATCATGTCATGTCAAGTGTTACCTGATCTTTTTTTTTCCATTAAGATAAAGAGACAAGGGTCTGAGAAAGACAATATCGTTGAACTGCACAAATGTTATCAGTGAAGGGGACTCCAAGACACACGCAAACTAGCTGAAGGGCAACCAGGAGGCAACTTGGTTTTACAGGCATATACTCATGAAGATAAGAAGCCTGTTGAGGCAGATAAGCACGAGCATCAGTTGGGCACCATGGGCTGCAAGTTGCTTAGCTGATGGGCTGGGAAGGAAAACATGAAGCAACAAGAGAAAATATGTTCTGGGTTTGGTTAATTGAGGGTTTCTTGTATCTTTAAATCTTGAAGTGGCTAGCCGCTATCCACCTAAATAAATAATTGTACTCACTTTCAGTATTAATAAAACTTCCGTTTGATGCTATTCAAAAATAAATAAAGAGATAAGGGTCTCTGCAATGATTGTTTCAAGGTCTGAGGGGGCCAAATCATTTGGTGTCCACATTTCTAGAAAAATCTCCAGGATTGGTAGGCGGAGATTTATCTTCTCTTTTGCTGCTTATTCAGTCTCAGAAGCCTTGCTTGGAGATGCAAGACAAAAGAATCTGGCAGTGGGTGCATTGGGCTAGTTCAGAGTTGTGTGGAGTTCCTCTTTTCCTTCCAAAGTCTTATTTATGTCATCAACAGCAACTTGGAGAATGTCTCACCTGGCACACCTTACTCGGGAGGCTAAACATTTCAGAAGCAGGGTGCATGTTATACGTTATGCAATTGTGCTATTGAATCAGTTGATTACATCTTTCCACACTGTCATATGGCAATAGAGATCTGGTGTAGGATTCTTTTAGAGCTCAACCTCAGTTGGTGCTTCCCTAAACCTATGTTGGAAAACATTAACAGCCGGACATGTCACAGAATCATAGTTCACTGGTTAACTATAAAGGGCAAGAAGGTATGTTCTCCATCCAGCAGCAGTGTGTTGGAATATGTGGTTAAGAGGGTATTCAAAAAAAAACTCGGTCTAATGACGTGGTGAGGAGGGTGTAAGGCTCCCTTTTTTCATGGTTTAAGGCGAGGAAGGATTTTTGAGGATCTCTTTTGGTGATGCTTTGTCTACACATAAGATTAAAAATTGATGAAGGATTGTAGGTTTTTTGTTTCTTGTATCTGGCATCCTGTTCTTAGTGTACAAATCCTCACTATATAGCTGCCTTTTGATGCACATGTTTTCGGGGTTTTGAGACCCCTATTTATGTTAAGTTAGAGAAATCATACTTTACATCCTGTCAGAAAAAATATAATAATTCTATTAATTCCCCAATTTAAGTTACAAACTTCTATCTAGGAAGGTTCACACATTTATCATTCTCTCTTTGTACTAGTTATGTCTAAAGAAAATTATTTGCAGAAAATAGTTGATACAATTCCTGTTGAAGTTTAGCTATAACCAAGCAAGAGTTAATGTAACTTTATACATCTAGGGCCCATTTGGGAGGACTGAGCTTAAGATTCAAGTATTCGACTAAGCTGGTTCAGCACCTCATCTGCCTTGATAAGTTGGTTCAGCTAAGCCAGAAGTAGCTGCGCTCCAAAACGGGCATCTTATATTTATTCAGCTACTGCTGTCATGAATCCATTGCCGTCAATTCAGGTACAAGAGCCTACTTCACATTAAAATCTTAAGCTTGTCTTCAATTACATTTCGCCTAATCTATTATGTGATCTTGGAAACAAAGTTGAAAGAAACCACTAAAGTTTGGTTTTCAGTTTTCGATAGCATTTCACTTAGTTTCTGCTCCATCAAATCAAGAATCTAAATAGATGTTTGGCCTGAATTTGTACATTCAATTATTCAAACAAGGATTTGGTGATTTTGCACCGTTTTCTCAAAAAAAAAATGAAAAGAAAAAAAAACGCAGCAATTGTCAAACATATACTGACCATCAAATATAAAATGAGAAAGAAAGAGGGAAAAAAGGAAGCAGAGTATGCAGACAGAGGCATGGTTTCAGAGCAACCCAAACAGCAGCAGCAAGACAAAAAGAATAAAGAACAAGGAGAAAGAAGGAGGTGGAAGAGAAAGAACGAAGAGGATGAAGAGATTATGGGCATACCTGTTCGGGAGTTATCCGGCGAATCGGAGGGGCTCCCTTGCCTGTTCGGCCGTTCTTCCACTCCAGACTCCAGTATGCAGAGTCGATGGCTCGATGCTCAAGTTTCAACTCTCACGAGCCCTAATTTCTTTTGCCGCTTGTTGTTGCACTGAAATTCCACTGTTGCCCTTCAAAAATGGTAATCTAACGGCTTGATCTCTTTTGGCAGGGGTAGTGGTACGGAAGCATCCAATTTACATCACAGATTCACAGTTCAAACTACGGGTGCAACTTAGGCAGCCTACCCCGAGCCCGAACCGATCCAGCCCGAAATTTTACAAGGGCTGGGCTTCGATTTTAATTCGGGTTCACGACTAACCCGGATCCGATCCGAGACCGAATTCAAACCGAGTACATCAAATTACGGTATGGGTTGGGCTCGGATTGAGAAAATTAGGCTTGACTTCGGTTCGGTTCGGGCTTGGGCCTTCAGCCCAAACTTTAGGGTTGCACCTGCTTTGACTATAAACTCGACCCAACTTGCGCCCTAATTCAAACCAATGTTTTAAAAAATCGACCCCAAAAGAACCACTCATCTCCATTCGAGTGGTGCATTATTGGTTCAAACGAGTCAATCCTATAAAACTAAAAATAAAAAAAATAAATAGCATATATACAAAAAAAATAAAAAATATATATATAAACAATATTATTGGCCCTTGATAAAGATAAAAATAGAAAATCGGGTTGAAAACCTCGATTGAAGCATTGCACCTGCTCACTTTTTTTTTTGTTTTTGTTGCTAAGTAAAAAATGACAGAAATCTTGAAAAGGAATAATAAGAATGCTTAACAAAATAAGTAATAAATTGAAAAAATCTAAAATTTATTTCATTTAAATTTTATATGTACGATTGATCATACATTAAATAATAAAATTAAATTAAAAATACAATGGGATTAGAATAAACTAATATAATAAAATTGAAAATATAACATGACTATAAAAAATCATAAATAATATTAAAAATATTATACAATTATTGAAAGTTAAAAAAAAAGTGGCTTTAATATTTTATTTATTGAATGTTAATTTGCATCATTTGGTGAATCATTAGTTGATGTATCATTCTTTCTGGACCTTATAATTTGTCGTCTACATCTAGCCAATCCTTTAGATATATACACATTTACAATTTTCCATCATCCATAAAAGCTTTTCTTCTCATCCAATGCCTTAATTGGTATTTGCACAAAAACAAATTTTCATTGGAATAGTGGACATGGGAAGGGTTAATAGATCACATGCCATGGCAACAAGCACAAATTAATGTTTCCCATATTATTTTTTCACCAAGCTAAAAAAAATATATATATATCAAAATTATTTAATTGCTCATTTGTTAGAAAAATCTATAGGATTAACTCATAAATAAAAATGAAGTTCAATAAATCAACTTGACGAAGAGGCAATTAATTGTTACTTGTTTTTGTTTATTAGACCAAACTTTTATTTCAATACCACCACTAGTTTTAGATGGTATGCTTCTAGAAGTTCTACTTCCTCATGTTTTTTATTCATAGAAATTACACATTTCAATTAATAAATTATTAATTTTATTTTTTTAATCCAATACCATCTTTCATATTTTCATGATAAGATTAAAGTAAAACATCTACACCATTTTTCTAATCCTATGGTCTAATATTGTAGCTAGACAATATAAAGGATAAACATTTTCTTAATACTTTTTTAAATCTGTTTTCCAATATGTCAACAATATTTTTAAAATTAGTATCAATATTTTACAAAACATTCACTGATTATAAACAATTGATTAACTAATATGCATGATGTTGGATACCTGAAAATAAATTAGTTGAATTATAAAAATGTTGTAAAAATTCTTTTATACAAATTGTATATTCCAATCATCATTAGTTAAAGTCATGGATTTTTTATTGTAAAAAATAGTAAGAATTTTCCTATATAAAATGCAGCTATCTAACATAGAAAATGTGGAATTCTACCTACATCCAACATCTAGTACATTTCTTTTTATATTTTCCCATATTGATAGTATAAATATTTAAATTCATGTTTTCTTGTACCTAAAATTCTAATATACATAAGACAATTTCTAAATTTAGAAATATGTGATGAAATATTATTTAAAGCCTCTTATATACATAAATTTAAAATATGCCATGTATATCTAATATGAAATAAATTTCCATTTAAAATGTTTTTATTGAGATTTTAAAATATTTATAACATAATCATTATTACTAACATTAATAAAAGTAATAAAAAACTTTAGGGTCCATTTGGTTTGTAGGAATAGGGCTTCAAAATTGGAATCAGTATGGCCAATTCTGATTCTAAGCATTTGGTTAAGCAAAATTGGGAACTAATTTCCATTCTAGGTAGAATGGCAATCCCCCATTTGAGGGAATGGCCATTCTCGTCCCACCCCAGGAATGGGGAAACCATTCTTGCTGGTTGAAATAAGAAAAAAAATGAAAATGACAAAAAGCCCCCCAAACCCTTATATTTAGTTGATTCCAAGTTTCCAATCCTTTCCCCATCATCTCTCATCATACCATCCTTCAGCGATTGGAGTTTGAAGAACTGAACTGACACTTCAATGAGGTAAGTCCCTGCTGATTTCTCTCTCCCCCTTACTCTTCTTCTTATTCCTCTCCTTCTATTTCATACACTTTTTTCATTCCTCCCTTGTTTTCCTATAGCAGTAAACTAGACCACCAAGGAATCATTTTCGAGTGCAAACTCTCACCCATGCAACATCAATGTATGATTTTTTGTAATATCAAGGTATGATTTGCTTAGATCTTGTGTAAAAAGCAAGGCCCAACCAAGAAGAGATAGGAAAAAGAAAAATAAGCAAGACCTAACAAAAAAATTGTTATTGGATTATTTCGTTGTGGTTATAAAATTCTAAAATGGTGCTTATTATAGTTTAGCTAGTAGCTTGTAAGCCTTTTATTTGTTTAGTTATTGGATATTTGGATGAAACGGTTTCCTCATCCCATTTGGAAGCTTAACTAGTTAGTCAAATTTTTACAGATTCCTTTTACACATGTTTTCTGAATATGTTTATAAGACCTCAAGTGATTGGGTAAATCAAGCAAGGATTATGAAGTCTTTGTAGAGAGCATAATATAACATTAGAAGAGATTATGAGAAGTTGTGTCAAATAAAGCAACACTAAAAGACTAGAGTAAATAACAAAGCCCTCATGTACTATGGGGTCAATGATAATGACCCCCCTATACCTTTTTTTTTCAACAAAGACCCCCTTAAACTTTGGCCGTTAGACGAAAACCCCCTTCCGTTAGCATTCCATCAGTTGACTTCGAAAAAAGATTCTCATCTCACTATTTAAGATTTTCTAAATGTCCAAACTACCATTTTCTGCATTTGACATTCAACAATGAAGAAACTAACATCTCATAGTTTAGTGCTTACTAGACCCACCTCCTCTTCCTTCTATCCTCACCAAAAACCCACCTTTCATTTTCCATGTTAAATACGACAACAAAAGGCTCACAACCTTTCTCCATTGCCAACACAATCCATAGCCCAGCCATGAAGCAACACAAAACACTTCCACTCTGTCCTTTTGGTGGAATGGTGTCTTCTGTGAACATAGCTTTTGATCCTTACAAATCACCTCACTTCAAAGTCATAATTTTCAACCCTAAATTGTCAGGTCTTCTAAGCTTTCAGATTGAGCCCTACTCTTCTGAAATCAGGAATTGGAGACTCACTTAAGAACCATTCGATTTAGATGGTAAGGAGTTTACTCATGGGGTCTTTTGGAATGGTGCAATGCAATGGATCTATCAGCCAAATACTTTCCTATGCTTTGATGTTGAGCAAGAGTGTCTGAGAATGATGCCACCATTGCCGTAACTAACTCAAGATCTGAATAGAATGGGCTATCTGTACTTCAAAGAATCGTAGGGTAGTAAAACATCACCTTCAAGCATGGTATCTCTCACCCATTCTCCATCCACTATATCTATTAGAACACCTAGGATTAGCTCTGCCATATTTCCTCTAAGTTACGTTATGATCAGCCATGAGATGTTGCAACCAGGAGATTTATCCGAGTTCAATTACAAGATGTATATATTCCTATTTGAAGTAGAGACTGATTTGGACAAGGTCCAATGCAAAACCAGTCCATTGACACTCCTATCTAAAATTGGGTTTTGGCTTTTTGGGAAGGAGCATCCAAATTCAGATCATTTTGTGTGGATTTGTGAAATTGCAAATGATAGAAATTGTCCTTGCCCTTGCCCTTGTCTAGGTGAGCTAGAACGAATTTAAAGTCGGGCCATGGATTGATTATTTGGTGTTCACCAGCTCATAATGAGTGATTGAAGATGGGCTAGATAAGGCAAGGATCTATTGTATGAAAATTGAAGAAAAGAAAAAGTAAAGGAAGAAGAAGTCATAAGTGGAAAGACTAAGGTTGGATGTTGAATGTGATATTGAGTTTAATGGAAAGGGTGAAAGGACGAGAAGGAAAACTAGGGGAAGAGTAGATTAACATGGTTGGTTTTGAGCAAATTTTATGACGGTAATTATTTGGAAGGTAGAGGGCTTGGGAGTGTGAGGAATATGAGAGCTATCAAATATTTACTTAGAAGGAAAAAGACAAACATTGTGATGATTCGAAAAACAAATTGATTGGGATGGTGGGAGATGGATAAGAAGAATTTGGGGTTCAAGTAGTGTTAGATGGCATCTCAGTCCTTCTTGTAGGACCTCAGGGGGAATGGTGACAATGTAGAAGGATGAAGTGGCTGAGTCAATGGAGGAATTGATAGGAAGACTCTAGATTTAATTGGAATTCAAAAACATCAAGGATGGTTTTATATGGGTATTCACTAATGTTTTTATAGTCCAAATAGATATCGGGGAAGAAATGAAATGTAGGAGGAATTATATGCTATTAGGTGTTTATGGGATGGGCTATAGAGTGTGGCAAGGGATTTTAATGTGGTGAGGTTCTCAAATGAAACAAACAACCTTAACCAACAAGTCACCACTAATATAACAAGATTTAATGAATTTATAGATAATTGTGAACTAAAGGAAA